GCAACTGGTGCGGCTTGAAACATGCAAGATACCAACTTATGACGAAATAATGTAATCTGCAGCCGGAAACAAGAAATGACGTGACTTCAGATGTTCATCAAATATCTCATGTAAATGGACAGTGTTTAACATGTATATATTACCAGCACTTTGTTTTTTCTTTGCTGTACGTTTTTTGGGGCTGCAGCACACCTGGGGGAGAGCCTCAGCTACGGACAGCCGCGCACAGCGCGCACTGCGACCGAAGCGGGCACATGGGAACGAACAATCCGCCAGCATCGCGGCGGCACGAGCGCTGTCGCGGACGTTGTCGACGCACTGTCCACCAGAAGACCTAGAAAGAGTACAAAGCCCGGCCAACAAAAGTTCATACGCCCCCCACCCCCCCCAACCCAACCCAACCGCCCCAACCCGCCCCAACCCCACCCTCTACCCTTGTGCCAAGCCAAACGGCCCGGCTCAACACACGTCACAAAATCCGCCATCGGGGCTGTGTTTCACATATTTCAGTTCTCAGCGCAATTCCGCGCAACGGGCCGCCGCAGTCCCTATCTCCGACACCGACACTCCGTGACCCCTCCATCGGCAACATAGCAAAGGCAGGCCCATGGCATGCTACCGGCCGTGAAACTCCCCACCACCGTGCTGCGTACACATTGGCCTTTCTCCCCTCCCTATCCGCCTTGTTTCGTCCCCAGATTCCCACTCAATCTCCTCAAAGGTGGAGGATAAGCGGGCTTGTGCCACGCTATTCTGTCTTGCTGCAGTCTCACACGCCACCGCGCGACATGGGCTGCCATCTTGTGTCCACGTGCGCACCTGGGCATAGCCTCTCCTGTCCATGTCCGCCATAGTCGAAGCCCTCGGGAATCCGCTTGCCGCAATGGCACTCGGTGCGGCGCAGCTGCGAGCCTCTGCAGCGCCTCACTGCCCTTGCCCCCCCCGACCCGGTTCCTGCCACCGCGCAAGGCGCTTAAAGCCCTTTGCTCTTGTGGGGATCCCACCTGTGTTTGGGCAGATCATGTGGTGTTGTCTGGCGGTCATATTGTGGTCGCGGAGGGATCATTGTCAGGCACGGCGCGTCAGAGCATTCATGAGCCGTGATCCTGTTCAGGGCTCACGCGCATCACATGGCACCGTGTGGCGGTCCCATGGTGGTCGCGCGGTGATCGCAGCCAGGCACGGCACATCAAAGCAATCATGTACCTTCCGTTGGGTTAAGGGGTGCTCAAGCGGTGCACCTCGAGGGATGCACCGGATGCACGCTGCTGTCAGGAACGCGCCACGCACACGGAGACAGTGGGGGAGACGGGTCAGGATAAGTCCTATCGATAAGTCCTATCGATAAGGACTGGGGTGTTGGCACGGGGGGCGCACGGTTGATACACGGGGTGCACCTTGCATGCGTGCCCTCATTCGTGGCCAACGTCCACAACTACTGCCTGGCGTTTGATTCTTGTGAGCAGGAGTTTAGCCACGCTAGGTACTGCACCTGAAGCATAAACGAAGCATAGCTATAAAGCGTCAAGTTGAAGACGTATGGGACCAAAAAAAGCACCAATGTAAACTTATCCAAACCGCATTTGCCCAGAAGCACAAGCATACCCCCACCCCCACCCCCTTAGTGGCGCAATTTCACTTGCTTGGAGCTTGATTTAAATGAATTAGGGCATGCAACACCCTTTCAGTCGAAAGGGTGCCAGGCTCGGTAATTGGCACTCTGGTTTCTCATCCATTTTCGATCGACACAGTTTTTCTTCAACCTTCTAATGGCTTCCCTTTTCTTGCTGCGCGACTGCATGGCCTCTGGGATTGCCATCAGAAGGCAATGCCACACACCACACAGCTGCACACTCCCAAGAATCTTGGGACCATGAACAAGCAGTGGGTGGATCTTCGTGCAGCTGTCACAGCGCGTTTGTTGCTTTGTTCCTGGACAAGACGATCATTGACCTTTCGAGGTGTTTGTTTTCCAAGAACTTGTTTTTCCATTATTGCAATCCACAGAGCATCATCCTCGCGCGGCCAGAGGCACAAGGAATTATTGATGCCATCATTCACGCACAGGCGGGGTGCACAGAGGAGGGGCAGGCAGCATCGAATGACATGGTTTCTGTTGAGTTACCAGCAACCTTTCACCAGCGTATGGTTTCTAACATGGCTGTGGTGTATCGTGCACCAACGTGATACACAGGCCAATTCCAGCAAATGAGCAACAAAGTGCAGCCCACGCTAGACAGGATTCCAAAGCACATTTAAAACACTCAAACTCTGGACACAAACTCTACCCCGTCCTAAGAAGTGCACTCCCCAGTTTCCTTATCCACGCATCAGAGTGGCGCTCCGAGTGGGCGCCACTGCCCCTTGGTGCCGCCAACCCAAGGGCCTACATCAATTCTTTGCCAAGTGTTTTGCAGTGAGCAACATAAAGCGTTTATATACTCCAAGCAAAAGCAGTCCCTTCCAAAATTCCTTGCATTCACCTCCCCTTTAACTCTCCATTCCTGACCTCCATCCACCTGCCTATATGCGCCTGATCACACCCTACATCCCGATGGCAAGGAACAATGTCACCAAAAAATTAGCAACTGAAAAAGTGCAAATTACTAGAATTGCTCAACTACAAGACTTGCAGCGCATTTGTCCCATGGACAATGGCCTCAAACCATCACAGCCTAAAAATGGCAAGAGCCCCAGGACCAGGTTACTAAAAGACATACTCTCCTTTCCAGCCAAGGACACATCATCCTCTCCATTCAGACTTTGTTATTCCTCCCACAAAATCCGATCTCGCCCAGCATGGACAATGCTGGGCACATTCAGGAATGTGCCTGTACTTTGTTCACAAGTTCGGATTTTCTTTCCTGGCACAAAGCACCCTCCATTGCTGACACCCGAAATTACCCGATCAACAACAACACCAATCTGCGCCCTGCTTCTCCTGCTGTGCATCCCTTCCATGTCTGAGGGCCCCTACATCAGAACCTACTCGTACAGGTGCAACTGCGGGGATGTTCATGCCTCTGCAATTCCGATCAACACCTCTCCACTGCTAAGCCCAGGTGAGCGCGCCCTCCCACACTCTCACCAGGCACACTTGTGGTTCCACATTGTTATGTCCAGGGGCTCCTTCTAGAGCGTGTTTGCAGAAAGCAGGGACTACGATGCCTTGACATCAACGTCATGAACATCTTGACACCCTCTCCAGGGGTTGGGGGGGGGCCCTTTGCATGACTAACGTTTTCTCTAGCAATGTCCCTGAGGATATGTAGAGGGTGCCCTTTCAAGACCTGCTTTTTCCCTAGAAACGTACCTCAGAATTGGTACCAATCCACCCCCACCCCCAAGAAAAGAAAAGGAAAAAGAATTAGCTGAACTGGTGAGTGGTGTTGCGCACATGCGGATTGGGCATCCACAGCTCGTTGAGTATGGCCTCGTGCGGCGCCCCCGCCGCGGCGGCGGCCTTCTTCACGGCCCCCTCCCCGTCGAAAGATCCTAGCGACCTGAAGGCCTCATGCACCAGCACGATATTATTGGTCGCCCCCGCGCTCGCCCCGGAAACCATGTCCAGGCTCAGCGTGCCCACAACCGCCGCCTTGCCCTCCACCAGCCTCACCTCATCGGCGCCCACGGGGTAGCTGAACAAGAAGGGGATGTCCCTTCTGCCCCCGCCCTCTCCTTTATACCCCGGAGCGTACGATTCGGGGTAGCCAGCCGTGGTCACTCGGTGTATCAAGTCCAGGGGGGCCACATAGACGGTTCTACGGCGGGCTTCCGGGTCCATTTCGGCCAGGATCTTGACCGGGTTGCTGGGGCTGCGCGGGCTGGACTTGATAGGGTGCCATATGAATCCTCGGCGGAGGGTGTTGGCCGGATCGGCGAAGGCCACCAGCAGGGCCTTCTCCACCCACTCCACGTCCACGCCCGTCTTCCGGCATCTCATGCTGGCCTCCAAGGGGTGCGCGGACGCGTCGCAAAGCTGGAAGAGTTGGATGTATGCGTCCATCTCCGCGGCGTTCTTCATGCTGCCCGCCTCCGTCCCCACGCTGGTCGTGGTCTGGTGGTAGTCGAAGGCGGCATCAACATCCCCCGGCTTGAGCGGCTCGCACCAAGTACCGGGCGCCACCTCGCACCCCATGGAATCGAAATCGTCCATGACAACCACCCGGCGCTGCGCTCGCGTCTGGAGCACCTCCCCCAGCGTGGGCCCGTCCAGCCGGCGCTCCTCCGAATACTTGGCGAACAGCTGCTGGTAGGTCAGGTGGCGGCGCATTGGATGCATGTTCATGTCGTTGGTCAGCACCAGCCTCTGCTTGGCCCCGGACTTCCCCCCCGTGACAAAGTCCCTGTACAAAGCACCAGCCCACGCCGACCCCCGGAACAGCCGGCTCTCCCCATCCTGTGGCGTGTTCCTACAGAGGGTTTGGTGCAGCTCTTCACCGCATCGGCAGTACTCGCTGCAGGTCAGTTGCACCGTCAGCTTCGCCCCCTTTCCCCTCGGCCCCCACGCCCCGTCGCAGGTCACCTGGTACACCGAGCTCAGCTCGTTGGGCACCCCAAATTTGGCCATCTCCGATCCACAACGACACCCCCTCGACGCTGATTGTCTGGAGGAATGGCAGGAATGGCAGACATGTCACGCAGGGGTGGGCTGGGCGCGGTGCCTGGCGGGAGGGGAGGTGGGCGCGCCGCACCTCCCGCCTCTGCGTGCTCGTGTTTGCCCTCCTTGACACTTGGCTTCGCCTTGCCTTGGGCGCTTGATTTGCGAGATTCGATCAGGGAGAGAGCAACGTAGGAACAGTCAGCGTAGACGGGCTTTTTGGCAGTGCTTCACTGCAACTTCGGGCGGTCTGATGCGGCCGGAACGGGGGTCAAGTTTCTGTCGCCGATCCGGCGAGTGGAGTCCAGTGCGGCGCTGTGGGTGTCGCCGTTGTGCTCGCGAGTCGTGCACAGACCCTGGCGGGTAGACACGAGACTGGCGTTGAAGGCCCGCGAGGCCCACAGCAGCGACCACCCCAGGAGGCCGCATGCGTGGGGCGTCTGCGCAGGTCATGGACGGGAGTCAAGCGTTGCCTGATCGGGTACTAGCTCGTGAGCAACTGACGGTCCCCGCCGCCGTGCTGATGGCCGCGGCTTGCAGAGCGCCAATCCCAGGCACCTCCTGAGGACATTTTGGTGGTCGGGACCACACCGTTGAAACAGGGAAATCCCTTGCGGTGGCACACTCCAGGGCGTTGGCTTTCCCTCGTTTTTATTCGGCCTGCTCGTGGAATTCATGTGGCCCCAAAATCAGGCCCTGCCGTTGCCCCCGCCGTCTGCCAGGCCGCCCTCCTGGTCCAGCTCGACCTCGAAGGCCGCATCAATCCAAACGCCGGGGTACCAGCCCCCGCCTCCAGTGCCCACCCGTGGACGACAAGCCACGGTGCATGGCAAGCCCCAAGAGATGTGTTGCTGCCGGGTACCCAAGTTCCGGACCTGAGATCTAGATCGACGTCCTCAGGAGGCTCCCATCTTCGAGTGTGTCGGCGATAGCCCTTTTTCCAAGGCTCCCAACGCCGCCTCAGGCGGCCACACGCCGTGGGCAGGGAAAGGTGTGCGGCGCGAGCCACAAGGTTTATTGCCTCCGGGCTGCCAGGCGCAGTGCGTGTGGACGAGGGCCTTAAAGGGACCCCTGCCCTGACACCGTCCACGGTCAACGTGTTGGTGGCGGTCACTCCCAGCTGCGTGCCCTGTCAGTGTGTTCATCCAAATGCAAGCGCCGCTGTCGCGTGCATCGCAGACCCTGACTGTGCTCCAAGCCTATTGATGATGATGTATGCGGAGCCCTGTTGGGAGCCCGGCTCGGAAATTTACTAATATTAATGGGAAGAGCAACGGGATGATCGAGTTCGGTTCGCGAAACGACGCAGTGGTCGGAGGCTCAACCCCGCCCATTGCTTGTGGTGAATTTCCCATCGACGGGGCTGACTGCGTGCTGGAACAAAATGCGCAGCCACCCCTGCGTCTTTCTGAATTTATGCCTCAGGACCAGTAGAAAACAGCCTGTTTGCGATGCCAACTGCGATGCCATTTGACACAAATTGATGCCATCGCACCCGGTTTTAAGCCACATCGCTCTCACTGTGACGGCATCAATTTGTGTCAAAATGGCATCGCAGCTGGCATCGCAAGCATGACGTTTTCTACCAGTGCAGGCTGGCTCCGCTCAGCTGCATTGAAGGGAAGTGCCTTGGGCGGGGGAAAGGATTTGTCAAGCCACGAACCTACCCGTTGAGCACATGTGTTGAGCACGGCGAGGCACGACTATTCGACTGCGGATACCATGGACCGCAAGCCCCGGGACTAGGCGGCCCATCGACATCCATGGCTATCAATGGCTTCGCTCCTGGGCTGCTACAGCTAGGGGGGCACGGCCGCCGTGCCTCGGCGACTGCCTGCAACTTCTTGCCCGGGGTGGGGCCACTTCCCACTCGAGTCACAGCGGTGTCTTTGCAGTGCATGTTAGGATGGGAATCATGGCGAGAATGGGATTTAAGCGATTTTTACCCCCCGTTTGGTACATCACTGTTTGTCCTGCCAGGATTCAGGGCAGGGCCCGCATGTTGTGGTGAAGCACACCGGCTGGTTGTTTCTCGTGCTTTGAGGGCGTGCGCAACTTCGAGCGCTGTTGCTTAGTGCGGGCGCCAAACAGGAGCTCGAGGATGGGTGCCAGCCACAGCAGCAGCAAGGCGGAAGTGCGTGGCCTGTGGATATACAGACGAGAACTGGTTCTGCCATTTCTGTGCACAGCCCTGGGGTAACCCCAGGTCTCACCGGTGAGAAACTCGCAGGCGGAACATGCCTTCTTGCTTGAATCATGGCATTTCAAGGGTCGGCATTGCTTTCGTATGTGCAATAAAGTGCTGCTGAGCACGAAGCCGTGTGCCGACTTCGCGCAAAAGGGCGATCGACCCTTGAGATCAACCGACTGCGGGCTCCACCTCAACCGTTACATTCTGCTGCAAGCTTCATTGCTTCGTGGAGGACAACTTAAAGCGTGTTTGCGGAGGGACTAGGCGACCGTGCACTGATCTCTGGAATCTCGTTGAGAAAAGAGCCATTCGAACAGGCCACAGGAAATCTGTGGATCACGCTGAAGTGGGAAATTTTCACGCGCCAAACACTAGGAAAAAAAGGGCCAAATAACACGTGTTCAAACGTGTACAAAGTTTACGGGTTTGTGCTATTTTTGTGTTCTTAGCGTGTAAAACTATGATGAAATGTGTTTTATGTGTGTTTGCAAAAGTGTTATTTGGCCTTCTTTTTCCTAGTGAAAGAAGGATAGATATTCTGGTGCCTGCGCTTCGTGTTGTTTCTTGGTGTTTTCGATCGTAAGAGATGCACCGACTGGTGGTGCCTGAAGTTCCTGATTTGCATCTACGCGAAAGTATGGGGGGATGTAACCTGTTGGGCACAGTTCACCTGTGCCAGGTGTGAGCAGGTGCAGTGCTCTCCTGAGTGCACCACAGCACCAGGCGCGTCTTTTGCTGATAGATTGCTCCCAGGCCGTCCCATCCGCTGTGGGCCGATGGACATAGCTGCATCTCGCTAGGGCGGAGGGTCCTATGAATTTGTGTGTTCCTTGCTGTTGGCACCTGTGACCTCACCCAGCGGCTGGCCTGTATCGCATTTGGCTCATGTTTGCACAGAAAACTGAAAGTAGCATCTACTCAACATTTGCACTTTCGATACCAACAATATTGCATTGTGGTAACTCGCCATCCAGCCATGTTGACACCCAGCCCTTGAATTGGTGAAAGCTCTCGTGCTCAGCAAAGGATACCTTGTTGGTGAACATGCAGATATCAATGGATTCGAATTGTATTTCTGGAGTTGCGAGAGATGACAGATGAAAGGGTGTGCTTGTGCTGCATTTCACGCCATATCGCTTGTTTCAGACAGGGAGATTCAGATTCCACAGTTGTTGGGTTATGAATTGAAGAATGAGAACTGAAGGTTTACGATGGCTCCTCAGCTATGTTTTGTGCTTGTTGTGCACAAGCTTTCCATCGCTGCTGTGAACAGGAAAGATTCACTGCCACATTTTCTATGGATGTGGGGTGGTTGAACATATCCAATGGCAGTTTTGTTGTGGTTTATGTTGGTAGGTTGCAAATCATCGTTCTTGAAACAATACCACTTTTGTGAAACAGATGACGAAATATGCAGTGATGCGATTGCAGGGATGGGCACATCTGCCATCAGAGCTGCTAGACATAATAAAGCGATTGTCTGAACAGCAGGACGGCAGGGAGGCACTACTTTGTGAAAGAATAGACAAAAAAAATTAATGCGATGTGATTAATGCGCACTGATCTCAATGGGTGGTGGTAAATGTTCAGGAGCCTCGACCTGGTGGACGTGTGACCTTGCAGGGTGCGCTGGTGCCGGTGGACAAGCGCTTTGTGAATGTGTCACGAATGGTGCTTGGTATTTGCTCGGGGGTTGGATGGTGCGGCTCTTACCACTCTTGGTACTCCACCATCTATTTGCGATGTCGATTTGACTGGTTGCCAGCAGCTCACAGCAAGGAATATACAAGGCTTGGCAGCATCAGTTTCACTTCGACACCTTAAGTTGAGTCCTGTTCCGATGTTTTCTGACCCAGATCTGCATGCAGTGAGTCAGCTGATGTCATTCTGTTCTCTTGGTTTGCGTCGTTGCACAAAAATCACAGACATGGGGATGTGGCAGTTAGCACATCTGACAAAGCTTCAACCCCTTGATGTGTCCCAATGCTATAGGATCGCAGATGAAGGGCTGCAAGCACTGAGGGAACTGTCAAGATTGCATCCTTGAGCTTGAATGGGTGCAACCGAATAACAGACCATGGATTGATGTCCTTCGCAAACGTTGTGGAACTCCGGCGCCTTGATCTCAGTGGGGTTGCCAAGCTCACAGGCTATGCTATCAAGTCACTAGAATGTCTGAGTTCACTGACAGAACTGTTAATGGCAGGTTGCCAGCTGGCAACCCCCTGCAGGGGGTCACAGATTATCTTTTAACGTCGCTTTCAGGGCTGGCGTCGCTGCGTCAGGTTGTGCTGCGTTGCTGTTTGCAACTTACAAGGGAGAAGCTGGCATCAATTGACTGTCTGTAAAACCTCAGGGAGTTGGATTGAGGGGCTGCAGGAACCTCACACAGTTGTCCACCTACCTGTGGTCGCACTAGTAAAACAACGACCAAATAACACTTCTTGCGAAGACGTATATGTGCATTTCATCAGTATTAGGCATGCTGAGAACACGAAAATAACACAAACCCGTAGACATTTTACAGCTTCGAACACGTGTTATTTGGCCCTTGACACAGCTCCAGTCGCCGAATTTGTTTAAATGCGAGAATCTCACACAGTTACCAGAAAGCTTGGGGTCATTGGCGCAACTCGAGTTGTTGGATCTGTCGTCTCACGTGGTTTCCCGATAGCCTGAGGTTGCTGAAACCGTTTCGATCACTGAAAATGAGGGAACGCACACAACCCATGCTGTTCCCCGATGGTCTGTGGTCTTTGGCACAACTTCAGCTGTTGGA